GTCTTTGTTTTGGTGGGCCACAAGTGTGACCTTGACACACAGCGGCAAGTCACCAGGCACGAGGCTGAGAAACTGGCTGCTGCGTATGGTATGAAGTACATTGAGACCTCAGCTCGGGATGCCATTAACGTGGAGAAGGCCTTCACTGACCTGACTCGAGATATATACGAGCTTGTTAAAAGGGGGGAAATTTCAATCCAGGAGGGATGGGAAGGGGTAAAGAGTGGGTTCGTCCCAAATGTAGTGCACTCTTCAGAAGAAGTGGTGAAATCAGATAGGCGGTGCTTGTGCTGAGCTCTTCTAGTGAGGCAAGTGGTGATGAACTCTACTAACCAAACGTACTTTACTAAGTGAACTCGGTGTGACAGAAGGGAGAGCAACACTCCCGTTGTGAACAGCCTCCCACGCTGTTGTGGACACCAGAACAGACCCCAGAAAGAAATGTTCTGTTCCAAATAACCTTTCAGAACTGGGGGCTACAAACCTAACGGAGAGTGAGTGAGGGTGCGTGTAGATGTTGTAACAGGAGGCAGAAATGAGGGTCTGCACGAGACAGGAGAGAGTACACAGCTGAATGGGCTGGCACATGCCAGGGTACTGTACATGTCCTCTTCTAAGTGAATCCATAGCTCCGTGCTGGGCATTGAAGCCACAGTATGGACACTTTTAGCAGTATGACAAATGGGCAGACAGAGAGAAAGAAAGAGGACATCTTTGTCAGCTGTTTATTACCAGGAAGGTGTAAAGGCAGCACAGATACCATTTCCTCAGAAGGCCAGCTCCACAGGGAAAGTTTACTGACATGGTATGCACACTTCTGAATTTTCTTTCTTATGTTCTTGAACCTATTTCGATAGCGAAGAATATTCTGTGGGACTGAAAGAGGAAAACAGTGGTTATTTGATTGGTAATGAAAATTTAAATTAATTCCACCCCCCCAGTGCTTTTCTTGCTGTGCTGAACTGGGATTCTAAGTGGCAACTCCTGCTCCAGTAGTAATTATTCAATGCATTTTTATGCATTTACTGCCTGGGTGAGTACCACGAACGTTCCCTGAGTTCGGGCTTTCCAATAGAATTAAGCGATCGAGAGCATAAAGAGCGAACCATGTCCTCATCTGTCATATCTTAAGGCTGATGTCTTGCAGCCAGGTGGGACAAACCAGCCTTTCTGTCTTGCTAACAGCACCGTGCTGACCTTTTGGGTGTCTTACCAGCCAGGTCACAAGGAGGAATGGAAAGGGGAGGTGGGGGGTGAGGGGGAACCCACCCCAACAAAATAAAAAACTTGAAAAGCTTAACTCAGGTGCATCAGACATGCTAAAAGGTGAGATCTGCTTTTAAAGAAGTTAAATAGCATGGAAGGCAACAGCTTCCATCAGTACTTTCTGCTGTTAAAGTGTCATTTTCTTTCTTGGCATCTGTGGAAGAAGAGAACTAGCACTGGGAAGGAGGAGCACACAACAGAAGTGTCTGAGCAGGTGGAAAGGGAAAGCCACAAGACAAGGTCAAAATTTGTTTTGCTCCATGTTTTAATTTGACAGAGGAGGATCCATCTCAGGTTGGTCACCATGGGATGATAGCCGTGTTACAAAAGCTTCATGTAGGTGGATGTTTTCTGGGAATGCCGTTTACCACATAGAAGCTTTGCATCCGCTAAGTTCAGCTTTTGAAGTGCAGCAGGGTAACTGTGCTGCTGTAGCAAACTAGGGAAGTTCAGCCTATTAAAAGCAAACAGAACCACAGTGACAAAATTTTTTAACTCAAGTTTGCAAGCTTTATACAGCAAACTGCTAATGGGCAGGAGGGAGGGATTAGGTAAAAACCACAGGGAGCATCTAGTGTTTGATTTTAGGCCTCTAAGTAGAGAAGAACAAAACACTTATTACAGCTTTTAAGCCACCCCATCTATAAAAATGTGGGTCTTAATTGCTGTTGAGTTCAGACAGTTTCTCCCTTCGACTCTGTCCTAATGGTTTGCAGCACTTGGGCAGGGCTGTATGAAGGAAGAAAACCCTGTGGTTTCCGTATTAAAACTGTAAAAAATAGAAACAAACGAAACCCAACCCAACAACCAAACCCTGAAAAATGAATTAACTTTTTTATTTTCAGTGTTCTAGGAACAATTTCAGTTCCTGGGCTCTGTGGAGGAGCAGTAGTGTTGCAGCTGCTGGTAGCAAATTCGAGGAAGGGAGGGGTGGCGATGGTGATGGGCGAGCACCTTTCAGTGAGCTCCTCACTGATAAGGACCCCTGGTCACACCTGAATAGCTTATAAATGTGTCAAAAACCTTGTGCTAAAGCCCAGTGAATTCCAGGCAGATTCTGTGGTGGCAGAGTTGAGTGCCCTGAAAATTAAATGAATAAAAATGTGTATTGAAAAAAAAAAAAGTCCCTTTACAAAATCTCTTTCTAGGTAAGCAAAGCTGAAGAAGACTGATGCAGAGAGCACCACAGGAGCTCGGCTGCCATGGGCTGTCACAGGCTGACACCAGCAGAGCACGCACGGTTTGGTGGGACCAGGTCTGTGAGCCCTGCTTTCACAAAGGCGAGGAGGACAAACAAGTAGGGAAGGGTCGGGTTCCTCATTTTCAGAAAGGCGAGTCCACCAAGGCGCTGCCTTCAGGGTCTGGCTGTTCACCAGGTGTGTCTTGGGTTGCCTCGCTGGGCATCGCAGCTGTCCTCGGGCACAGCTGGAGCGCTGCATCAACGGCAGTTTGACGTTGGATCCAACGGCGTTTTAGCAATAGTAAAATTCGGTAATTCTCAGTGCAGGAACCGGGCCAGCAGGGGAAAGATGAATTTCCACGAGACAACCAGTATGTTATTTATTGGGTTTTGGACATTCCCCTTTACTGCTCCCAGAGAGGAGTTCCAGAAAGCCTAAACCAGTAAGGGCATTCAGGCCTTCAGAGTAAATCTTCAGTTTGAAAACCACAAGTGTCATAATTCTAAAGAGGAACAGTACAGAAGAAAATGTACGCAGTCTTAACTACTTAGAGGTAATAAATGGTTATATTAAATGATAGAGAAGTCATTATATACATCTTTTTCTAATTCCTTGCATTTTCTAGACAGCTTATTAAAATATAGGAAATGTAGATTCAGCTGTACAAAATTTGGAATGTTTTTTCTAAGATGAAGAACTTATAGGATATGCTAAGAATTCTTTTCTAACAACTGGTTTTAATGCTTTGACTTTTAGTGCAAGAGGGATTTAGAAAAATCAGAAGGTGATACCTTTCACAGTATAAAGGTCAGGAGTTCTTTTACTCTAGGACAAAAAGAAAAAAAAAAGAAAAAACTAACTTTCTGTGGTTTCTACCACGTTAAAAACAATCTGCATGTTAGACTGAAATTGCTCAGAACCTCCAGAATAAAAGCCTACTATACACTTTCCTCGCTTTCTGTTATGCACTGTAACGAAATGTGAAAATAATGCTGTATTTAGCTGTCTGTATGTGACTGAAAATATGCTTGTATTTAGCAAAATGGTTACTATGTGATAATGTGAAATTCAAAACTTGTAAAGAAACTCTGGTGGCTTTTTTTTTTTCTTTCCCCCTCCCCATTCTTTTCTCAGTAAGGTACCCACTACCTGTACCACAGCTGTACCGCAGCCGTCACGGAAAGTCCAGCACAGACTGGCTCAACAATAAACTGGCTCTTTGCAACAGCATCTGCTATACATTTTTCTCTGAAGGGCCGCTGCTGGGATCTTCAGAACCAGCCAACTGCCTCACTGAGGAAAAAAAAAACTAGTGCAACTATAGAAACACTGGCTATTGTAAAAAAAAACAAAAAAAAAGCCACAAAAAGCTCCTTCTCCCTTCAGTAGTAGCCAAAACCAGCTTTAGCCCCTCCAGGTCTTTCTCAGCCACAGGCAGGACTAGTGTCACAGTAGCTGAACAGCTGCTGCAACTGACCTTCGGTGCTTACTCAGAGTAACAAAGTTTAACAGCAAAGGACAGTGATCAGTCATAGGCAAGCTTGAGTTCTTATATCTATGAGTTTTGTTTTGTTTTTTTAACTTACTTTGTATCAAACAAACAAAAAACCACCCAAAACAAGAGGTACGATGGCTGCAGCCATCTGCCATCCCCCCCACGCCAGACACCTGGTGCAGCTACAGAGCAATTCCAGCTGGAACGCCGTCCCCTGCCATGCCCAGCATTAGGTCACTGGCAGTTGCACACAGCGCTTGTTTTGCTCGTGCAGAAACGCTGAACTCGCCATTTCGCTGCGCGCAACAAAGGCAACTGCTGCCTTAGGACCAGCCGGAGGGAGGGGGAGCACGCTTTGGCCTGTTGGGATCTCATTAATCCAAACTGAAGAGAAAACGGCAGGAGAAATCCGCTGCCTTTCCTGTCGGTGCTGATGCTCTGGAAAAGGGGGGAGCAGTGTCCTGAGCAGCCCCACGTGCAGCAGCGGGCATGCACCTCTTAATCAAATAACACACTCGAGCCACACGTTTCCCTGCTGCAGCCAAAGCCACTGGAACAACCCGTGCAGGAAAGGCACGGGTGAGCCAAGCCCAGGCACTCCCTGGTGAGCGGCGGCCAGGATTTATCTGTTTTGTGCCCATCCCAGCAGCTCTGACTCCTTTGCAGCCACCGTGCTGTGAAACCAGTCGCTGGTGTTCGCCACGTCGACGTGCTGACTGGCGCTCCCCGTTCCACTCAAGCCAGCGTTCAGCAGCTACACTTCTCCTCTCTGCTGCTTCAACTGGATTTTTTCACCCCCCACCCCCCCAGTCCAGGGAGGGAAGCGTTATAAAAGGTCACACATCAGATTCATGATGCAAAGAAAGATGCGCAAAACCAGGTGTTTGCCACAACTGTTTAGTTTTACTATTTTAATATCATGAAATAAAAGTACAAAAAATTTACAGGTATATTGTTTCTTACATGAAGATCGAACAGTTAACGTTTGCATCTATTTCGCAGCGAAACCTGTATTCTCAGTCACAGAATGTGAACATTAGCCACTGACATCACCACTGAGCATTTCATTTTAGAAAGAAACTGCAGAGGTAAAAGGCAACAATCTTGCAAGGCTTGGTAAGAACCAAAAAAAAATTCCAACTGTTAACACCAGAAGTCACGCTTCAGTAAACCATCCTTATCTAATACAGGTTTCACCACCGGGGAGGCTGAGAGCGTTAAGACATTTGAACTGGACATCTTGTCTAAGGGATGGTCAATAGGGGGGCCCATGTTTACAGGCTATCAGCATTTCGGTGTCCTCGTTCAGCACGTTTGCAAAAATAAGCCGTGTGTGCACGTGTGTGAAGAAGGACGGGGTGAGCTCACCTGCAGTCTTGACATAGCTTGTGCTGTGTGCGCCACTTGCCACTCTTCTCTGAAGACAAGTCACAAACGGTTGTACGTAAAGTGCTGAGAGTTCAGAAACAGGCAGTTAACTAACCAATAATTATTAAAAACAAGTTTATCCCAAATGGATATATCCAGGAATGCTTGCAGATCGATGCTGCCAATTAGCTGACTGAAACAAAATCCAAGACTTCACTGTATTTTTTTCTGTTTCCTAGAACATTACAGCTGCGTGCCTTCCCAGCCCAAGTCGACTTTAACTTCATCGGCTGTACACAGAGATGAAAAAGCAAACCCCTGCATTACCTTAACGTGCTAAAATGTCAGACTCCATTCCATACATGCCCCTCACCTTTTCAGACAAGCTTTCAAGTAGAAATTTATTTATGACAGACTGGTCTGATCGAAATACTATGTCCTTCGCTGGACTGTGTGGTGCCTTTTCGAATAATTCATTTCATGAAGCATGCATGAAACCAAATTTTGAGTTTACAAATAAATAAAATGGTGCTCACCATTAGTTTTTATATATTTTACCATTTACTGAAATGCTTAAAGTAACTCAGTCCCTTAAGAATGAACTTGGGGGGGTGTTTAAATAAAAAATATTTGGAAATTGAAACCACATTTAAAATTGGCAAAACTATGCTTTGTTTTTGGAAGGGTCTTGCTTGTTTCTTCTCTTTACATCCCAATTATAAACTCTAGCCATATCTGAGGGTGTAGAATTAAGGAAATAGCTAATGCATTCAGAAAAGAAAACAACAGAAAAAAACTGGAAAAAAAAAAAAACAAAAAGGGAAAAAGCAAGATCTACAGTTGGCCACACTTCACTCACTTGTAACAGTCAATACAGAAACGATTTAATGAAAGAGCTGACTTGGTGCAAAGCCTTAGCACACAGGAATACTAGTAACTTAATAACTGCAGCATTTATACCATTTACTTCAAAACTTCCAGAAAGATATTGCAGAGAAATACACTTTTGAGTTTTATCTTCAGCTCCTCTTTTCTGGTTTCAGTCCACCTGCCCGTATCAGCTGTGTTTGCCCATTTCACACACCCGTAACTTCCTGCAGCACTAGCACAGCTTAAGCATCAACTTGAAAACACAAGTAGTTGTGCCTTCATTTACTAAATCTAATGCTTCAGGTGACAGCTACCCTCATCATTAAAATAGTTTTTAAGTAGAAAGTACAGAAAAAAAATCCCCACACCCCTGGAGGTGGTTCATGACATCATGAAGAAATAAAAAAGCCTGTTAAGAGATGCCTAAGCTAGCACCAAGCTTGCTGCAGCCAGCCTAAGATAAAAAGAAGGTCAGGAAACTGGTAATTACCTGCATGTTAGCTTTCACATA